GGTCTGGGATCTGGAAAGCAAACAGTTTGGTTTGTACCTTAAAAAAATGTCATGCTGTACTCGAGAAACTTCAAAGGGAAGTCAGATTTCAAAGCATCTCTTAAGAAGAAGCAGACTGAGAAAACCGCTAAGTTGGGAAGAAAAACTTTGCGTTACTGCTAGTATAATTTCATCTGGTGTTCTGGTAGCCTCCACAACAGGACTGAGAACCATACAGCTTTCATTCAGAGGGTGCATTTTGGTGCTGGTTTCTTTCTCTAAGTATTTCTGCAACCTGTATGTTGTGGCATTTCAAAGTGCAAAAGTCCCCTTCATGCTGTTTGTCAGTGTAAAATAACCCTTCCTTATGCTGTATATTGTTTAATTTCAGTGTGCATCTAATGACCCCCATCCTAGTTGTCTCTTGGTGTTCTCTGTAACACAGCCAGAGGAAATAGACCATTTCAGTTCACAGCTCTAGGTTTGTTAGGCAGAATTGTTCATAACGAGTGTTTCCTAGTCAATTTGTTTTGTTTTCTTCGTATTCAGAGTAACACGCATAGCTGATTCTTCCTGCAGCTAGAAGATCCAGGAAGAAAGACTCTGTTCTCACTTCCTTTCAAGTAACAGTTACCAAAAGTAAGACTTGCATTCATAAAGCAGTATCTTGGAACCTGCAAGCTGGATTTGAGTATTTTTATCTGCCCTTTTTAAGAAATAATTTATTCCCTGGGCATCATTGGAGAGAAATGGTCTCACAGGTACTCCCCATAGAAAGGCTTGAAACTGATTCACCTGCATCATACTGAGTCTGAAAAAGACAGTACAGTCTCCCTCTTACACCCAAAATCAACCTAGGGAAGGCATTCTGTTCAGAAGCAGCATCCCTTCATTGCTCACCTGTGCTATTGCTTGGTGCAGGAAGCCTGAGTAGTGCAAGGCACCTGGGGCAGCTGGGATACAGTTTACCCACACATTAGTTTTTTACAGAGCTTAAATTGGCAGGTAATTTCACTAATTATTTTCTGAAGAACAAAGGTCATGCTTGTGTGGGATGAGATACAGAAACACCCTGGAGAATGTAATCCCATGGATTTAAAAAGTATGGTTTTACGAGTGTTCTGAAATCTCCATTCCTTTGAACTAAAGAGTATTCTGGAATGAATAAATGTTCTGTTATTTCTGAGGGAAAGGGAACGGCTGGTTTCATAATGCTTCTGTAGACTGTGTTAGGCAGCTTTTCTCTTCTTTACAATATTCCAGATTTGGCTTTCAAGCCAAAGAGTTTGCAAGTGCAGATAGCAAGGCTTGTATCAGAACTGAAGGCTCAAAAGAGACCTCAAGTTTTTGCATTGTTCTGGGCAGAGATAGCGCAGCTGTGAAAGACTCAGCAGCACTGTCTGAGACAGCCCATGCTCCTTCAATCAAACTTAACATCTTCATGGACTTTTTTTTCTCCATTAATTAACTGTCAGTTCTAACTCTGCATTATTTTTTTTTTTTTGCTTTCCACTCCTTTCAATGCTTTCAGAACAGAAATTGAAACAATGTCCTCAGATCTTTGACCTTTCCTCCAGGAAATTGCATTGGCCATTTTTCTTAATTTTTTTCTCCCTCCTCCTCCTAGCCCCCTTTCCCACAGCTCTGTATATTTCCACAGTGTTGTCCTTCTGTAGGACCCATTTCCAAACTAGTTGGCTTTTAATGTTGCATGGGATTGTGCCATGTTCACTAGATGGCATGAGCTTGCAAAACTGTCAGCCACGTATGTGCATATCTGGTATTTATCACTCTATGGTATCAATATGCTCATTCATCTTCTTTGGCAGAACAGCTCCATCTTCTGTTTTATTTCATGTTCTGAAAGTGCAGGCTCAGTACGTTGTGCTCAGAAAAAAGGTCTCTGATGGTACCACTTCCCATCTCTTCAGTTTGCCAGTTTAGAACCTAGTAGGGGAGTGCTCTACACTGAATTGCTGACCATCTAGTTTAAAGAGTTGCTTCTCCCATGGAAAGCAGTCCAAGGCTCCATAAAGCTAAATCTCTCAATTTTTTTGTAACAGCCACCAGTATTCATTAGACCGCCTGCAATATCAGCTTTTTCTTTTGCCCCATTCTTGATGTACGGGAACTCCAGCAGCCCGTGTTCCTCTCAGGTCACTGAGTCATTCTTTGCTGTCTGTTAATTTTCAGTTTTCTGCAATTTGCTGCTCCCTGTCTGCCAGAGACAGTACTCCTGCATGCTCCAATCTTCCATTTGTTTTCATCATCGTAGGCTTTAGTGTTGATCCAGAGAGGGAGCATTTTATGTGATGTCTAAGCTTGATCACAGCTATCTTGGCATCAGGGCCTTTGCTATCAAGATAGTCATCATAAGCAATATTTACTGTCCTTCAGTTCTTTCTCTTGATTCTTGGTGGTGACAGGGGTATTGTTAGACTGCTCTCTTTTCACTGTTTTTCTGCCTAGTCAGATAACATCTTGTAAGTTTCCCTCGTAGGCCTGTCATGTCTTGCTTTTCCTCCTCCTCCTCATTTGTTTCGGGGATCTGCGTGGTTTTCTGCCTGTCTTGCCCTGCTTTCTCCAGGTGACAGGCTATCACCAGCAGCAGTATCTCTTCTGAGCTGTCACTGCGGTATCAGCCACGCCACGGGTGGATTAATCAAGTATTTCCAGAGCAGGGAGGCAGAATAAGAGTGAGCAGTGAGTGACAGCTCTGATGCCTCAGGTGCAAGGAGCAAACTTTTCCGTCTCCCGAGGAACATTTGCTTCTTGTCGCAAAGGGTATTATTTGGTCTTTGATGGTGCAATAGGTCTCCTTGCAGTCCAGGCCAGTGAGTGGGGCATGTTATGAAACGGATGTGTGTGGCCTAACATATGGGTAACTCTAACTGGCAAAATAACATTAAAATACTTTCCATTTGGAGATGGAATTTATAGTAGCCAGACGAGCTGCGGAACAAACATCTCTTGTGTTCTGCTGCTGTGTTTGTATGAGCCTGAAGGCTAACAAACAGGCAGGGAGCTCTGGCCTGCTCGGCTGGGTAAGATAATAGTTTCCACTAACGATGCAGTTCAAACGGGTGGAATTTTCACAATGCCAAAAGAGAGCATCAAAGAAATAAACCTTCGTTTCCTCTCACCCTTCCCAGCTCATCCTTTAACCTGCACAAAGACCGCAGGTCACCCTGTCATTAATTACTAAAACATCTTTTCTCAGGAGGGAAACTCTGGAAGAGGCTATTGGAATAGGGGTTGGGCTTTTAAAAATTCTTGTCACAATGTATTTAAAAGATGTGTGGATGTGGCACTTAGGGACATAGTTTAGGGGTGGACTTGGCAGTGCTGAGTTGATGGTTGGACCTGATGATCTCGAGGGTCTTTTCTAACCTAAATGAGCCTATGATTCTATATCTGTTCTTATAGACAGGTGTAGCAGAAAGCTTGGCTGATTGAGGAGGAGAAAAGCAACCATTTCCGGTTAGTTAAAAAGGTATACCAAAATGAAAATGAAGATTTAAGAATCTGTATATCCTATTCACAGCAGCCTAGCTTACAAGTATGAAATCTCAAAATTGTTTTGGCTGAAAAACATGGATAGGGATCTGTTTTAGGCAGCTTGGAATTTTTCTTATGTGTTTTCCCATGCCCAGGGGAGCGTTTTATTACATCTAATTATACATTCAAGATGATTACCTTGCGGTAATGACTGACATCACTTTCAGCCAATATTTACAACGTAAGCTGAAGAGCATCACGAATATTCAGTCAGTGTTTCTTTGCGTTGCCATCCTCTGTTGTAAAATGCTGATGTATCTTGCAACAGTCCCTCACTAGGCTGTTAAATTGATGAGGGGCTCTTGCTCAGGCTCAAGAGCATTAGAGGCTTGCTGTCTGTCTCCTTTTCTTATTCTGATTTGGTATAAACGATTTCTTCCCATCTCAAACCTTTTTTTCTTGTTTGTTTATTAACCATCTCTGGCTGTGGCTATTTCAGCTTCCCTTTAGCTAGAAGGGAAAATGTAAATCAAATCAAATGTAAATCAGATCTCACCAGTATGCTCTCCTCTCTCATTCTCTCTGTGGAAAGGAAAAGAAACAGAAAACTGAATCTCTATCTGTGACCAGGGTATTTGTATGACTCAGCTCTGGAGTGGGACAGTAGGAGTAAAACTGACTTAATTTTTACTGACCAAATGATAAAGAGAGGTTCCTGTCATACTCCTTAGGTGATGCAGAAGCCTAATTATTAAGTGATATCAGCCTTTTCAGAAATGGTTTCATCATCCCCAGAAATGGGATTGTATTTCAGGGATTTTTCTGTAGGATATATCGATAGGAAGGCTTAGAGTATTCAAATATATTTTAAATCAAACAATGTGCAGTAAGAGCATTCACCAGTTTAATATCCCACAAAAGCTTTCATGATTATTAGGAAAAATACATGGAATTTTAATCTGTAGTAAGAGCTATTAATGAATTTCATGGCATAAATGACCTGCTAAAAACAAACTCTAAACCTCTGTGTAAAAATGAAACAGTTTAAGAACATTCCCTTGAATCTTATAGTCAGGCTGAAACTTGTAGAAGTGAGTAGGGTAAAGTGAGACTGAAAATAATCTGATGTCAAGAAGGTCAGCACTGAAAATAAGAAACTTATTTCAGTCCCTCGTCTTCTGAGCTATATAGACATTTTTCTATATTGTCATAATACATATTTTTATAAACAAAACAACTTGCTAACTTTCTTTTGTTTCTTTCCTGTGGGTTTTGGTTGTTGCTTTATGTAGAGTAGAGTAATGGAAAAAATATGTTCAATAAAAAATGTGATAGATATTTCATATAAAAAACATCTGGGCTGCAAAATATGTATCTTTCTCCCTCACAGCAAAAGAAAGTTGTTAGTAACTGAAATCCAGACCACAAAGACAGTAACTCCCACTTAAATCAATGCATGTTAAGTGCCTAAATAAGAATTTTAGTCTAGTGGCCCTAATCACTATGCTAACTCTTTTCAACAGCCATTCAAGAAAAGCACTTTAAGAAGCAAGTTGGCCAAACAATAAAAGAAGACAATATATCTAACAAGACTGCTGTACAAGAAGGTGGACTTCTACTAGAAGTGAGTGAAAAAACGCTGCTTTTTTCTGGCTGTAATTTATTCAGTTTGATGATATATTCGGGCTGATTATTTGTGGCAACTTTTGGTTAGTCTTGGTGGGAATCTTTCTAGAATCACACCTGTGAGTGCTTCTTCAAAGAGCAAAACTGGAAGTTTTGACAGTCATGGCCAGTCTCCATCTGGGCAATTGTATCTCTCACCTTTACATCCTCAACATTACCAGCGAACTCCAGCAGGCCAGTTCACAGTTCTTTTTCGCTTATAGGTTTATTTTACTTGGCCAGTATTTTGAGGATGTCAACGTGAGCTTTCCTGGTTTCTGATCCGAGCTGAGAATGTTCTAGGATATTTTAGTTTATCCTACTTCCTCAATTTTGTGCTCTGCACACACACTGTGCACACAAAAGTTATTCCTTCTGAGTATTTTAATCCCCCTTAGGATGACTTTATATTGGCAAAGCAGCATAAAGGGGCCATACTGTTACTGAGAATTGGATCTGTTTAACTGAAGGAAGAATTAATACTGCTGTGAACTACTGAACCAGCTAGGGCACAGTGGTCCATCCCAGATATATCCGCATTTCAAACACATGATGTAATAATGCCTCTTATACACCGAGGTCCTTGGAAATTCCTATGTCATTAAGACTACATATGTATAGTTGTTTTGGATAGGATAACATTCATGGTATAAAACTTGTGCTTTAATGACAGCTCTGAGATACATGTAAATGTAAATTAAATAGTAGCCTCTGGCAAATAATTGCTGAACTGCTGAATTAAAAATACATTTTATCATGAGATTCAATACCGTAAGTCATTCAAGTCTATGGAATGAAAACTTGCATCCTGCTTTCCTTCCTCTAAATACTTTAGAAGGTTTTAATTTTGTAGTTCAAAGCAAGGGACATAAGCACCTGATTAGCTAGCACTAGTGCCAAAACAAAATGTTTCGCTATCAGGCATTATTTTGCAGTCATTTCCATTCTCAATGAATAGGGAATAAAGGGCGTACAATAAAAGATAAATACGGTGAGTATATAATTTTTAATGATGGTCTCCTATATTTAGTTTATGTTTTGCTGGGTGTATATTACATGCCTACAAGTTATAACCATTAGGAATCTTCAAACAGTAGCCCTACTGCTATGAGTACATGGAGAGAACATTTGCACATAATTTCATGTAGGTTACAAGGATTATGCTGATGGTCAGCTTACTGCAGGGTACGTAGGAGTCATATTCTCTTTGAATATAGGGGAGATATTTTGTCCTGGGTCATGTTTAATGTGGATCATTAACTGTTTGATTAAGTGCATGTTAATATGGATGTACTTGCCAGCTTTGTTTATGGGCATGTCTGACCTAGAATAAGAGGGTGAGTTTTCCTTAGGGCTTGTTGGGAATGTTCTCTGAGGACTGAGTTTGGCTCAGATCATCGTGCAGTGGTTATGGCACATGAAGAAAAGTGTGTTTTTAAGTTGTTCAACCAAATTCACCACGGTGGTTATTAGGGACTGTGGGATTTTAACTTAAGAGTCACATTTATTATTCCTTCCAAGGAAAAGCAAACAGTGGTTGCTGTGCTTTGTATATTGACTTGTGAATCTAACCACTGTATTTGCTCTCAGGAAATATTTTTCAGCTGTCGAAAGTCACTTTCCATCTCGTGACAACACCTTGCACTGTGCAACCTCTCCTAGATGCTTTATATAACACAAACCAAAATAATCTGAATCAACAAAATATGTGTGAATAATGCTGTTCCTGAGTGCAATGTTAATAGAAAACAAGAGATAATGGTTTTTATTTATTTCCTAGAAGGTATGTTCCCTCTGCTCTGTGTATAGATAGAAATATGGAATACCAAGTACCCTAATTACTGGTAAATAATATATCTGTGACTCTTGAATCTTGGAACAGGACAGTACTTCCCCTTTCAGCTTGAAAGAAAACAATGGAATTAGGCTGTCTTCAAAGTATGTTTAAAATGTTTTTTATTTCTAAAGGCCTTTGCCACAACATGTGTTTTTTATTTACAATTTTATGGAGATTTTTTACAGCTATAATCAAATAGCTTTCATCAGCAATAACAGAATAAACAATGATACCAGTTTATCAAAGACTTTTTAGTGGAGCACAGCAGGTATCTAAATAAATAATTTCTTCCAGTGTTTTAAGATCATGTCTTCTGGATAAGAGAGTCTGTTCTTGCCATCTTTGTTCATGTGGAGGGAAGGGACAGAAAAAGCTCAAAGAATCAAAGTTTAACTTTATTAATTTTTTTTTTTAGTATACCCCATTCTTATTTTACTGTCCTTGGAGACTTCAGATTCCAACAGTTTGACTGCAGTAATGATTTTTAACTTTGCACTTTCAGAGTATTTTCCAAGACAGGTGATTTTACAACCCTTGTGCCACATGCCTTTGGGCAGAAAAGGGCCACATTCAGTTTCTGAAGCCTGTTACTGAATGCTTAAGAAACACCGGGCCAAACCCGTAAACAGAAAAATGGGAAAATAAGTTGTATTGGCAGTCAATAAATCCAGATAGAATTTATGGGGTGATGGGGTGGAGAAACACAATAAAATGGTGACTTGGAAAAATATTGAATCATTGGTGGGTTTCTAGGCAATAGCCTTGATTGCAACAATCATCTCATGGCTGTTAGCCACCTCCTGCTCTTCCCCCCAGCCCTGCTACACTCCCAGTCCTAAGTCCAGACTCAGAATCTACACTGTGGTACAGGTAATTCCTCATCCCAAATGCATGTGAAACTATCACGTGTTATACTATCCATTGGAAGAATTAAATGTCTGCTGTCGAAAGGGAGGGCCTATAAGGACTTGTTCTCTCAATGACGTGCATTCAGGCCTCTGCTCATCCTCACCATTCATGCTGTTTCTTGCGTAACTTCACTTGCATATTAAGCAGCACCCTGCTGAAATTGTCACTTGGTCTTTATTGACCACTTCACAGTTGCTACTGCAGTTTTTCTGCTTGTTATGGAAGAATCATTGATGTTCAAGTTTCTGTATCAGCTCTTGCTGCTAAGGAGGTTCCTTGATGGGCTTTCTTTCATTTTTATATCTGTTGGTCTTCCATTATGCTGTTGTAGGCTGCAGCATGGGATTTATGGCATCTCTGTCTCTAGATGTACTGCACATAATTCTTTTCAGGTGTGAAAATAGTGTTTTATAACCAAAATGCCATAAAAATTATAAAGATATATGGACAATCCCAGCAGCTCCCAAACAGATGCTAGTGGAGTAAGACTGTCTGGTTCTGTCATGCCCCCTCTCTCTGATGAAAACTGATTAACACCAGACCTGGCTGATTTTGTCATTTCCATGCTCACTGGCATTTCAGACTCTTTCAGAGAAGATTCATGTTGATTTCGGGATCTTCCAAGACACTCCTCTGCAAAATTTAGGGTCAGATTTCCACGAGTCCTCTACTCCTAAGTCTTCAGGGTACAAGAATCATATTTCTGTGGTTTTGTCTCATGTTTTTCTTTATGGTTGCATTGAAAATACCACTCAGCAGACTATCCTGGTATTTCTTATTCAGTGACACTGTACATTCTGTTTAATATCTTTATCAATGACCTGGATAAGAGGATTGAGTGCACCATTAGTCAGTTTGATATGACGTGAATTTGGATGGGAGCTTTGACCAGCTTGAGGGCAGGAAGGCTCTGTAGAGGGATCTGGAGAGGCTTCCTTACTCAGATTTTTAGACAAAGACTGTCAGTCGCCTGGCATCCTAAATATCTTAAAAATAATAAATTCACAGACATATTGTCTTTGACTTATTAAATAAATAAACTTCTTCAAAATTATGAAAACTAGGTTTGATGGTGCAACCCTTATAATTCTCCACTGGTATTAATAATATTACTTCATTACATTAGCTACTAAATCACCTATAGTTGGGTTTTTCAAACTGAGGTTCCATGTTTTATAGGCATGTTTTTGTTCTATCACTTAGCAGATGAATTTTGCAGATTTGAGTTGTAAGTAACAAGACTAGTAAGGCAATTCAGATTATTTAGCTATGGAACCAGCAGAATTTGTGCTTTGACTGTTGGTGCAAAGCTACAGCATAGTCAGGCCTTTATCACGTAAAACAGGAACTTTATCATACAGACAAGTTCTTTATAGATTATTTCTTAATTCCATATCACATGTTAGGTCACTATAGTGAGTAGGAAATTTTGGTTCTTACTTAGTAGCTCCTACTGAACTCAGTGAGGTTTTTTCTTGACAGCTTTAATACCAAGTAGTGCCCAAAGTCTTCAAAACTAATGAAAGTCAGACTTCTTATGCAAGCAAAGAATTCAAGATTTGACATAATGCAAGTTTAAAGAATATTATTTAACATTATGTTGTTTCCTTAAAAAGGGGTGCAAATAATAATTTTTCTGGCAGTTACTTTGAAGGGAGAGGCGTATGTGCACATTTTGGCACTGAAAGGTCTCTCCTGGTGGCCTCTACTAACACCTTGAACTAGAGTTCAAGTCTCATTCCTATGGAGTTGGAAAATGATACATTAGAAAACATCCTATTGGTGCTGTTCTTCACTCTGCATAAGGAAATAACATAGGAAACCCTTTTCCCACTTGGTTTCCTGTAATTTTTTTAAACTTGTTAGTGTAATTCCACTTCCTCCTTCCAAACTGATTTATGTAATCAGTACTGGATAAAACTGTACTCTTGAAAAAGGTACTCCAGTTTGAATTTCAATCTGAAAGCAAGAGATTTTACTCTTCCTGTTATTTTTTAATATAAACTTGAAAAGGAAAATTGGGAGTCCAACAAAAGTGCATGGTTATTATACAGGCTATGACCAAGGCACAAACTTCAGAAATCAAAAACTGGTAGAGAAAGAGTTTTTCGTTTATTCTGGTCTGGAATTCCAGTGATGCTGACTCCCTTAGCACAGTCCTTCTAAAGTAAATCCTGTAAGATGGTGATACAGTGCTTCACTTTTAATCTACT